TACCAGAGCAAGTTATAGTCGGATATTGCTTCATCTTATATATAAAGCTGAATGTCTGTTTGTATGTCTGTCTGTCTGTATGTCTGTCTGTGTGTACGTATGTTCCGAATAGAAAATTCCATTTCTGAACCGATCCGGACCAAACTTGGCACACGTACACTTCGGGCCCCGGCGGGTGTCATAGGCTACTTTTCGTCATCGATCGATATCGATTTTATCGATTTTTATCGATTTTTTTTGCGGAGTTCACCTACGGGGCTGGGAGTTGGAAAAGGGGGGTAAGCGAGCATGGGGATTCCGAATACAATATTAGTTTTCAGGATCGTCCATTACTTTTATCGATTTTATCGATTTTTTGTAAAGTTTGACCTGCGGGGCTGGGGTAGTCGAGCATGCTGATTACGAATACAATATTAGTTTTTAAAATCGTGCATTACTTTTATCGATTTTATCGATTTTTTTGCAAAGTTTGAGCTACAGGGCTGGGAGTTGGCACAGGAGGGGTAAGTGGGCATGCTGACTTCGAAAACAACGCAGGGAACGGGAAATGAAGTGAAGAAGTGGGCACAGGGAAATGCTGTACAGGAATAGGGATGGGACCTTTACTACAGTGTTTTCACAGGGCCTGGCGGAGCAGGGTAAGCAAGCTAGTCTATCAATAAAAGGGTAACAAAAAATCTAAAACAAATTTTCAAATCGAAATTACACAAGTTCCATCAGGCTTTCACAGGTTCCACATTTGAAAATTTTGCCTTTTCGCACAACTGAGGGCAGTGGTTTCTCCTTTTTTGGGCATTTCTTCTTGGTTTGTCATTAATTTTCGCTGAACAGCGTGTTCGGTAGCTGAGGCCATCGCACACTAAGAACACATCTTGAACCAGCCCCTAAGATTCGCACTCATTCTTGGTACTTATGAGATTAATTGGCAGAACTTCCTTTACAACCTAATACTTCTTTGCACGTGAGGTCCTGACTAGGTCTCTTAATGTTTTGACTAGGTTTCATATCCCGTTCGCATCTGGGTAATGGAATATTAAAGACAAACCCTAAGGAGTGTATGCCAAGATGAACGATAGTGCAAAAAGATAACAGTAGTCCGATGGTTGTCAATTTGCGTTCACGAAATCATTCTTTTTAAAGCTATATGTTTTCCGCTGGATCGAAAATGGTGCCGAAAAGCAAAGATTAAAGCAAAAATAAGCTCCCAACTTTTTTTTCAAATTTTTCAGTATAATCATAGCGTAGATATGAAATATGGAAAGATTTGACCTACGCAACACATATGGCTGGCACAAGCTAATATGCCGGCTACCTCCGACCCTGAGGCGCAGTGTTTTCATCGTTTTGACCTAACTAATTGTAACTCTCATGAAAATACCAAGAATGCAAGAGGTGGCAGAGTTTTTCCTTTTTGGCGGCTCTATTGTTAAGCGGTTATTTAAAAAAAGGGCTAAAGTTACTAACTTATTCTCGAGTGACCTTGCCTAAGTCTTTTGTAGGTCAGTATCGCACAGTTGCGTCACCTCGTTTCCCTATCCGTAATCTGCGCATCCTCCTTTACGCATTGTCTGGACATAATGCCTTTAGTTAACCAGAGGATGACAAATTCAGATTTATTGGCTTTTTGAGGTCAATATTTTTCCCGTATTAGGTTAACTATCCAAGTATCTCTTTACCACTAGATTACAGTTTGTTTAGCAGGTGAGCGTGGCCGACTTTGAATTTAGCTTGCAGTGACTGAGCACGTCAGTCAGGAGCTAAATCAAATTTGTACCAAGATTGCATTTTATTTTATGCGTTATCCACAATCACTGCGAGAGCTGTCGATAAAATAACTTTTGCGCAGATGTCTTTTTCCTATCTCCACTCACTCTTCTTCAACTATCAATGCAACATGAGCGGCACTGTACCTGTCTTTTCGGCACCTACACTTTTGCTAATAATGGGTCGTTTCAAAAGGTGCCATGGTTGCTAACTTACGTAACCTATTCCTCTTCCTTTATGCATTTAGAAAATTACGCCTTTAGTTCGATTAAAGGCAGTGTCTTACAAAAACTGAGTAATGCGAGGATTTACCATATTCGTTAGAGGACCCCCTGGATAGGCGACTGTTCTGTTCCTTCACTTGGCTCTGGCTCCAAAGCGTCTGCCAATGTGACGAAGGCTACGCTGAAAAGGCACAGCATGTCCGAGTTGCTTCCATAGGATTTCCAAAAAGACGGGGCTTCTGTAAACTTCATGCAATTTTGAACCCGCATTGATTTAGACAGGGCCGAAAAGGCTTGTACTATAGGTCGTGGATTGCGCTACTTCGAGGAGCCCGCTGCTCTGCGCGAGAAGGTCCCAAAACGCCAGTCTTCGCACGCTGCCCCGCCCTCTTGCTCGCACGCTTATGCCGCAGCTCACCTTCAAAAAATCACGTACGTCACATGCGTCTACTCGCGAGCGGTCGGCTTCAACTGAGTCTTACTATTGATCGATCAAGCCGTTTCATCAACTCGCGCGAAGAAGACCACACCACGCATGGAGAACTGGTGGCCTCGAAGTAACCCGGATGTGTGCTTCTGTAAAGTCGCAGGGCTTCTTTGATATTTGTATTGTTGTCCATTGTGTCTATCTAGTCCTTCTTAGTCGATTTGTCTGCGTTTACTTGGCGTTTTGCTATGTCTTGGTAGTTTCATGTCGGGACCACGCGATCGGAGGCGTGCACATCTTCTTGGGCTGCTATATAAGGCGGCTCCGCTTAGCCCAAATCAGTCTTGCTGTCGGTGCTACGAGGAGTGCGGTCGGGTCTTAATCGAGGAGCCAAGCAGAGGAGACGTGGAGCGCAGATTGCCTGGAGGATCGTTCTTCAGAAAAGGTTTCCAACATACCCCTACACTACGCCGAGCCCCCGCAATAGCGCCTAACTTAGGCCATTGAGTCTCCATCGAGGAGCCAACCCCTATTGCGTGACACAGGAGAGACCAAAATTTCCTTCTTCTTGACACTTCTTGCTTGCCACACGGCAGGGAGCACACCCCCCGGCACACCCCGGGGGGAGGGAGAGGGGGTTCTTTCTACCGGCCGCTAAGGGTTCCTTCATACTACGCCGCAGGAGCGGCGTACGCTGCTCGCAGTGAAAGTACGCCCATGGCGGCACAGTCTCGCTAGGAACACTCGGAAAACACGGAGTAGCGGATAGAATTACAGTGATAGACAGAGTGTGCTGCCATAGGCGTATTCTCGCCGCGACTGCAGCAGCGTACGCGGGGATAGCCGCAGCTCGACTGTGGGCCCGACTAAATTCGTGTTACGAATGATGTTGTCATCATATATAGGCTAGATGGTTAGATCCGTGCGAAGGCTGGCACGATGAAGGCTAGTGCCCAAATGTGATGGCAAGCTCCAGGTGGCGATAGTGAGAATAGGAGTCAACGCCTCAGGCTACAAACTTGGCTAGGTGAGTTGGAAGCTTAGGGCCTCTAATAGTCGACGCATATCGTGTGGCAGGTACAATGGCATTCACTGCAAGTTTCGCTACCGGTCCCAAGTGACGTTGGACCTTTTCACGGAGAGGACCCCGGCTCCTACCAACGATGGATGCTTGGGGGGCCCATTCCGTGACACTATACAAAAATCTCGCTAAACAAATTTTGGTGAGACACTGCCTTCAACACATTAACGACAATGTGACCCACATGGTGGGTCATGCATCAACTGCCAGGGACAACGTGACCCATATTGTGGGTCACGACTTGAATTTTGTTAAAATGATTAAAATTAATGGGTATATATTCGTTTCATGAGGTCTTTTACGCTTTGACTCTAGAGGATAATTTGACGTTTCTTGGCTGCTTTTTAGAGTTTGTGTAGGTGTAGTATAGATAGAAACCCGCGCGACTTTAGCTAGAAGTTTTTGAAAATAATTCGTGGAAGGCATTGTCCCACAAGGCAGACAACTGAAAATGTGCATTGCCTTAGCGTGTTGAAGGATGACACCCACACTCTCATGTACAGATCTTACTTTTCTTTAAATGGTGGATTTCCAAAACCATTTATATCAGGCTAGTATCTATCTACTTTTGGATCAAAGTTCGTTTTGCAGCTGAGGCATTGCAAGCGTGACCCAACGTTCTAACTAGCTTGCAATAACGAGCAAGCCAGTCAGCAATTAGCTCAAAATTTAGCAAAGAATGCACTCTGAACGTTATTTGTGAACAAAATGCCATGATTAAATAACCCTATGGCACAGATGTGAATTTAATCCAGTCTCATCTCTGCTCTACTTGTTGCGCGAAGTCTCTACAAATAGCAGACCATCAATGTTGGTTGCTCTTTTTCAGATACTTGACTTGTGCATCTGCTTAGTATGACGATAGTGTGAAATGAATAGCAAATATGACGGAAATGGAGAACAGCAGTGGCAAGAGTCTTAGCCAGTAACTTTTTCTGACCTCGTTTATGTTGTTCATGATGCATTTGCTGCAATTCAGTGAACTCAGCCTTAGTTGATGGTATCGTGTTTGCTTGATATGTTGCTGGAAATATACAAGATTACTGAGAAAAACAGCAAGATTTTCACATACCTCCCAAGTAGCTATGAACTCATCACCAGGCGAAAGACCCAGTTGCAGTCTTCTTGCAAGCTTCGCTCCAACGTTGAATGGAGGTGTATAGTACGGCATATCGATGACTATATGTTTCGTGTAGTTGCTCAAAAAATTCTCATGCCTTTGAAACCTTTGTGAAACAAATTTTGACTAATGAATGTTCTTTGATGATCAAGACCCTTAACCAAAAAGTAATGGGAAAAATCTGAGGAGGAAATGAGAAGTAAGCACTTTCACGTGACTATCGATATCGTAAATTTGAATTTTCTGTCTTTTAACAGATCTTTCAGCTCTAAGATCTTTAACGGGGGCGATAAAAGGAGCGTGCCTCAACAGAAATTTCATAAACGTGCGGTTTTATATGCTGGGATTTTGTGAGCAAACTCACATGCTATAATGCATATACAGTACAATGTCTGGCTTTTCATGTTGCACAACTTTCCTCGTTGCCTTTGTGAAATCTGCACACCAGTTCGATAAAGATGGGCATCCTATCAAATACGAAAAGTTTCAGCGAGCTAATGGGTATGAAACTCCATTAGAGTAGTTACAGAAACTTTGCCAAAACGAACCGCCTCTTGCATAAAGCCTGAGGCTGCGATAGCGTCCTTTGAGTATATTGTGAATCAACGGGTATGCTCTATAAGCAATGGAGTTGCCAAGAATCAGGACCTTGGCAGTGGCATTTCCTTTCTGAATAGAGGAAAGACGATCAAAGTTACTAGAGAAAGTAGAAGTACTTCTGTGCCAAACAGGTTTGTTAGGTGTTCTTTTATTTCCAATCACGGCTTAATGTTTCGACGCCTTTCGTCTTCCTCAGAGGCCTGAAAATGGCTCAAAGTGTTACCCGAGAAACGAGGCCATCAAGTACCATCTCCATTCCTGCTAGTTCTCAACCTTCGTTCAACATTCCTACCGAAAAAATTGCTATGCCAGAAGATGAACATACCCTGTGAACACCGCTATTTGGGGTTCCGCACCGGAAGTGATGGTCTTGGCGGATAGAATGGACTATACCATAAGAGCACATAAGTGATCTACAGTCTGCATAGAGAAATGAAGGGGAGGAAGTCCGTGATAATTGACAAACACTCATTTTTTCTCGGGCAACGTTTTGAGCCTTCAGGCCTCTGAAGAAGACGAAAGGCGTCGAAACGTTAGGCCGTGATTGGAAATAAAAGAACACCTAACAAACCTGTTTGGCACAGAAGCACTTCTACTGTCCGGATTATGCCCAGGTTTAAAGAAAGCGAAACTTTCAAATTACTAGAAAGATTACGCCCAAGCCCTTACTACTTACTAGCTCAATTCCCTTAAAGCGTCAACAGGCGCAGCGCAACTAATTGGTATCAATGATATGTTTTCTACGTGAAAAATTGATTGCGTTTTCAGCACAGCATAAATCTATTTGTGAGAGGTTTAAAATGAGAAACACGGCCTACGAAAGATGGATAGTTCTTTATTTATTTATTTACTAACACATTACTTAATCGTAATGTGCCATTATACAAAGAACATGTATATGTTTATGTAACCATTAACAATCAAAAAAATCATCAACTACTTTTGAGGAGCCCAAAAACATCTTTATACTAAGCTTTAAAACATGAAGATGATATGCGTTTCAGTTGTGAAGTTGAATTATGTTTCGAGATACATGTGTTTGAAAGCCTCTTTTGTGCTTTTCTATTAGTGGCAAGAAAACTGTTTATGACACTCATTTTACTTCGTCTCTCAAAGCACACAAGCATTGGAAGCAACACGAAAGACTTTCATCAAAAATCAGAAAAATGGCGGTCAAGAAAAGAAGATTTTCAAAACTTTTCTTGCCGGGCACTGAGCAACCCTCGCACTCAGCTCACCGCAACGCAACGCATTTGAGGCTCTCTTTTGTTATTCGTATAGCGCTGAGTGTCGCCGTCTTTACCGCAAGGCACCGCGGAATACGCCCTCTGAGATTCTATCAAGTTCCATTCAATAGCGTAGTCAATTTCTAAAAAAAGTTTCAGTTAGTAAAGCTGTCGAAATATTCATCAATCTGTGTGCAGTACTTGAGACGTTTGGATTGATGCTTTCGAGTGGAGGAGCATAAAGATACGTAGACTTAGTACCAAGAACGCACGCATAGCAGGCAATCACGCAAAGACAAGCCGTTATAACTCCATTCTTTTCAAAAAACTTCTGCAAACAATTTCATTATGAATATCGTACGTCCAAACTACGAATGGATAAAAAAGTCCTAGCTTCAAGAGTGTGGTGAATCGCTACCGACAGCATGAAGCTAGCGAAAAGTACAACCGCCACGCCTAAAACATGTGTTTCTTCTATTCTAAGATTTATTTCAGCATTTCAAGTTTTATGCAGTACTGAGAGCTAAGAATGCAAAAACCGCCCAAGACATACTCCTATTTCTTGCAATGTACAAACCTTAAACTTCTTCAGTAAACGGGCATTGCCCTTTTTGACAAAGCATTGAAACTCTAAAATAAAATATTGTTACTTTTTGAACTCAGCGCTTGAGAATCCACAGAATATCGGGCTGCCGCAATAATCGGCCAGTGAACGAGATACAGAACGTAGGATATGTCTCCACAATAAACTATGAACCCGTTTGTCAGAGAGAATGCATCTGTACTGAGATAAACCATTAAGCCAGCCATTAACGTCGAACATATCCTGTGCATAAGTTAGGAACTTAATTATGAAGCAAATATGCTTGACAGAGAATTTTCTGTTATGTGAATCTATGCTTAAAAGCTGACATACCTGGCCATATTATCGGAGACATACTTTGGGCTAATAACCACTGTCACGACCAAAACAAACAACAAAATATTCGTGAGTGAAGATCCACTAGAGAACCTCGTATTCGGTACTAAATGCATCTATGATCAAAAGTGCACTGATTGCATCAAAACCGTCAAATAAGATAATCCTGTCAAAACTGCTGCTTTTGCCTTCCACTTCTCCATGTAATCTAGTAACTGGCTCCTTTAGCGCCTTTTGAACGCCTTACTCTTACACACTTTGCTCTAACATTCCCGCCGAAAGCCGTAGGCACCAAATGCAGATTGTGCAGATACTGTTCTGTAGAAATTGTTATATAAAAACTTCCAAGGCTTATGCGATGCATTACACTTTTTAAATTATTGTCTCATCGAATGCAATAACGATGCAGAGCCATGAAGCGTAAAGGAGCATATACGGGTGTCTCGGGAGCATGAATGCACTCAAAATCACCTGTCACAACGTTACGCTGATACAGATAGATCGAATATAAATTACGACCAAGAAAAAGCTGACTTCTAGTTTTATCGGTTCCAAGTATTCATCTTGCCTATTCAGTCCGATTTTGGGGCTAACTTCTTCTACATTTATCCATAATTTGTTCTTCTTCAGTCAGCTTGCATGCTTAAAAACCCTTAAACTCCTGTTTGTTCTACAAATGCTGCTACTACATATGGACACCAATCTTTTAGTTAAAACTGAAGTCAAGTAAGTCTATTTTCTACCCATGCCCGCCCTCGCTCCCCACGCACCACGTAAATAACTGAAATAGACTGACAGAACAAATCAGTACAAAGGTGCGCGGTCTAATCGGCAAACTTTGGAAACCCGAAACCTTCCCAGCAATGATATGGAAGGAAACTGCAGATTGCGCACGCCAGCAACTCCAAGAACCAAGGAAACAAAAAATTAGAAAACAAAACTCAAGCATTTGATAGAACCGACATACTTATCCAATAAAAAGTCAGCAAAAACGTCTCACAGATGAAAAAAGGATCACACCTAAAATGAGCATGATGAGCAGGCGAGAGTGTACTTGAATTTAAGAAAAAACAGAAAATAGACGTTTTAGGCATGATTTACTTGCTCCAACGTGAAACTGTTCTTTCTTTAAGCTCAGTCTGGTGAGTACGATTAAAGCTATTGGCGCATATAGAGTCAGTGCCGTCGGTATTAGTGCTGCACCACAAAATCTTTAGGTTTACAACTCGGAACAAACCGCTTCTCAATATTGTGCGATTACAATCAAATTTTCTTGCCCACTAACTTCTTTGTCATTTGGCAGATAATTTCATTGTTACGGAGAGGTTCTGAAGCAATTTTGTAGAGGTGTTTCAAGGCACGGACTTTATACAAAAAAGTTTGCATAATTGTTTGCAAACGTCAGAATCCGGCTGGTTCTGTTTCTAGGCTTTTTGAGAACAAAGTTTTTCCTGGCTTTTGCAAAATTTTACGAAATTTCCTTCGACCTTTTTTGAGAACGGCGAAACGATATCCCCTTTGCTTTTTCACCCCAAAATCAAAGTCAAGCCTGCTTCCAAATGAGGCCGAACCCTGGACGTAATTCAGCAAGTAACAAAATTTTCTGCTTTATCAGCTTTTCTGGTTGACGGCGCTCGAATGGTCGCTTGAATCACTGTCGCAATTCACAGTAAAATGATGTCCTATGTTTTTTTTACCGTAAACTTCTGATGGCCGATCTTTGCTAATTCTTAGATGTTCCTAGATACCTGCTTTGTTAATCTGCTTCGGCAAGTCCATCCCTGTAGCCGAGGGCATGGCCGCCCAGTTTACTTTTTTATGGCCTGTATAGAATTTGATGTTAATAGCAACTATCTTTGTGCAAGGTTTAGATAAAAATACTTCACAAACCCCTATCAACAAGCACATAGCTATATCTTACAAAATATTTTCTTGAAAAACCATTATAAAAAATATCTTTCAACATCTTTCTTTACATTATTAAACGCAACGGATTAAGTAATTTCCTCTTCTTCTTTTATTTAATTATCACTGCTTAAATCTAAGAAACTTAGTAAAATGCATAATCATGGTTCTTTTTACTATGGATCAACTGCGAATTTGAAGAAATGTCCGAATTCATGAGCAGTTCACGAACGTTTGCCAACATACCCTCGTATGACAATTCAGTCTTGTCTTGTTTGTAAGCATTTTCTGACGAATTCTTTTCTTCTTGGCGTAGCAGACTCTTGTCTTTCGAAAGAAATGGTTTTGAGAACTCGTGCGCTATCGACCCGCACATAAACTGCCAGATCCGAGATAGTAAGAAACCATAAGATACCTGAAAAAATTTGATCATAAATTTACGGAAGGAAAAAGCTGCTAATATACTAATTTTCAATTGCATTGCGCATCTAAGCTGACAATATTTTGAAAACCATACTTGAATACATCCAAATATTTTAACGTTAGCAGTGAACCTGAAGCTGTAATATGGTACACGCTTGAATAAATACACAATAACGAAAAACTGCAGTAAGTAGGATACGATTTCTCAAATTTCTGCGATTAAACTAGAACTTGAATATTTTCTTAGAGGCTGGCGAGGATGCTGTTTGGAGGATAAGGCAATATCAGCAGAATTGTGTTCTTTTATTAATTTTTCGACTTGCGTGGGAACTTAAAACATTCAAAAAAGCACATCCAAAAGTGCTCGAGGCAAATTTTTTCTCTTTCCGGAGAATGGTATGCATGGTTTAGAACTAAACTTTTTCATGATTGCTTTACTAGCGCTTGGGTTTACCAATTTTGCCATATATGAACTTAGCTTGTCGTTTTGGAAAACCTCGAAATACTATTAGGTTGTTACACAAGTCTTGTTACACTTAACTTCTAACGGCGATAAGTCATACATCTCATAGTCTTTGCAGGACTCCAAGGTACCATTCGATAGAGCAAAGCAAGCTCTACAAGATGGTCTGCAAAAGTTCGCACCAGCTCCGACCCACCGTAAGTTTGCACCCAAAATCTGAGTCGTACCGAAATTCAAAAAATCGCGAGAAATTCATATCTTTGTTCAAATAAAGCCTACGGATCTCCAACTTGCTCACAAAAATTGCCCACTATATCAAACACTTATATGTACCGTTGCTGTATTTTTTCCTTATCTAGAAATCGAGAAAAAGAATTTTTTTTAGTTTTTACAAAAATGAAGCTATGCTGTTTCTTTTCATGTAGCTGTATACTACAAGCCCTTAGAAGTATAACCGTAAATTTTCAGCTTTTCAGAAGCTCTGGTTTTTGAAAAATACCAAATTTAGCTTTTATCACTCGGGTGTTCAATGCTAAATTAGGTAATTTTCGAAAACTAGGGCTTCTGAAAAGCTGAAAATTTACGGTTATACTTCTAAGGGCTTGTAGTATACATCTACATGAAAAGAAACAGCATAGCTTCATTTTCGTAAAAACTAAAAAAAATTCTTTTTCCCAATTTCTAGATGAGAAAAAAATACAGCAACGGTACATATGAGTGTTTGATATAGTGGGCAATTTTTGGGAGCAAGTTGGAGATCTGTAGGATTTCTTTGAACAAAGATATGAATTTTTCGCGATTTTTTGAATTTCAGTACGACTCAGATTTTGGGTGCAAACTTACGGTGGGTCGGAGCTGGCACAAACTTTTGCAGACCATCTTGTAGAACTTGCTTTGCTCTATTGAATGGTACCTTGGAGTCCTGCAAAGACTACGAGGTGTATGACTTATCGCCGTTAGAAGTTAAGTGTAACAAGACTTATGTAACAACCTAATATAAAAAATCAACTAACAGCAAACAGAGCAATTTTGCAATGGTATGTTTTCCAGCTCCTTCCTGTTTTGCTTTTTATTGTTTTCAAAAACTAATACTAAAGTTGCGTTTATGTTCAGATCTACGTATGCCCTCAAGGTGCGCCAAAAAAACTTGAGAAAATATGATAGAAAGAAAAAACTTGACAGCAGAAAAAATCTATGAGACACTGTTTTTCATGCTAAGTATACCAACTGCAGGATGCACCTATGATGAACCGATAACGAAAATTCGCATGAGAAAAAGTACACAGAAACAGCTTCAACGGCTAAGGAGAACCAACAGATTATTAGCACCAGAAAAATGCCCCATCCAAGGTATAATGTAAGCCCGAAGGCGTCCGAGGCTAGACTGATTTAGGTATCTACCAACCCAACAATTTAGCCTCACAGTACTTGTGGTTTGTTCAAGCAAATCTTCAAAAATCACACAGTTCAAAGCAATAGAACAAACTTTAAGGGGTGGAAGAGTGACAAATCATTGGAGGGGATGGTGAACTAACAGGGACTATCAAACAGGTACGAATAACAATTACATGATTCTCCTTTTACTTACTCTCAGTACTCAATCACATCAAAAAGCAAACACAAGGGTTTGAAAGCAGCTGAAACGAAAAAAATAGAGTAGAACTTTGAAAGATTCTACGATAAAAAATAATTAAGAAGAAGTAAGAAAACACAATGCATAAACAATACTTAAAAGCCTAAGAAATTCGTAGCACTAAAAGCCTGCACAATACGATAAGAATGCAATGAAATCAAAGAAAACAATCACTGCCTCCTTGAAGCGATCTTGCACAGTTTTAGAAAAGGTAATCAATGTTCTGATTTGAGTTGATAGGTTTTAGCGGATCGAAACCCTAGTATACTGGTAGGTTTGTAGATCCAAGATTTGTTTACTTGATTTTCCACGCGAAGAATATGGGCAATCATCAAGTTTGATCTTACATCTTGTAATAGAAGTCAAGTCCAAATTCTTAGCACTCACATGGCAATTGGGAACTCCAGTGTTACAATGCCTATGCAAAGGAAGGCATGTATGTAAGTATGTTGTATATTACAACTATGTTGGATTTCAGATTCTTCAGCTTTCTTTGCTTGCAAATTAGTATAAACTTGAACAATACTGAAGGTTGGGTTATAAGCTTTGTAGAACCTAGACAGGAACATCATTAGCAGTAGGTTCATGACTAAAATTATGATCGGCATATGTTTTGCTGACAACCGATACAGTATGCTTGGAAAATCTTAAATCACAATCGATGTAACTTTCAGACCTCACACATCTTGACAAGCCACTCATCTCAAATCCATCATTATTATATAAAGTTGAAGAATGCTCACCATGATGAGGTAGAAAACTTGTATAGGATGTAAGAAAGTGCAATTTTAGCAGCCCAATTTTATTACCATTTCATCAATCGATAACCGCAGTACATTATGCTGTACAAGCATTCTCTCCATTGTATATATCTTTACACGTCAGCATATGTAATATCACAATGTTTTTAATGTTTCGGTCAGACTATATCAATATCGGAGGAGATAAACAACCCATAATGGAGCTCCACTGGGAGAATGAAAATTTTCGAGAATGCATGACCAATTTTTACCCGCTCTTCTAATTGTTCGAGTAAGACTCGAAAGTTTTTGTTGATAAGTTGCACATGGCATAATATCAACATTATTATTCCCCAGACTTCGAGGGTTTGAAAAAAAAACACACATATCAAACAATAAATGATGGAAATGGGGGCTTAATGCTTGAATTTATAAGAATTTTTGTTCCCAAGTATGATCACGCGCATTCAGATCGTGGCACTATCAAGACGGGATGGAAATTTCGAGAAAGAGAGGAAATGCAAGAAATGCCACGCGCATTCAGATCGTGGCACGATCAAGACGGGATGGAAATTTCGAGAAAGAGAGGAAATGCAAGAAATGATACATAAAACACTGTAATCCGGTGTTTTTAGAAGTTTGGGCAAATTGAATTGGTAACACACCCCGAGAGATAATATCTGGGTTACTATGAAACAAACGGAAAAGAACAGAATAACTGCACTCAAATAGTTTTCTTCTGCTTTCTTTTCACCTTGGATAAAGGTCTAGAATGAGATGTAATTCAAAGTATTCTTATTTTCAAGAATTTGAAGGTTTAAATATGATGACATAAGAGGATTACATTGAGAACTTGGCTTGAGAAAAACCAAAAAAAAACTGCATCGAATAGCTTCAGCGTTTTTGTTTATTATCGATGTGTGAAGCGCGTTTGTCCTTAACTGCTGAAAAAGCTCAACAGCCAAACTTTTCCAAAAAGTGAGCAACAAACACGTTGTGGTTATCGGAAGATCTCGCATTCTTCTAACTAAATTGGGAACAGCAAACGTGCTCTCTTGGTAGTCACAAACTGCGTTCTCCGTTGAATTTCGGACCTTCGTCTTGAAGGAATTGGTTACGTTAATTGGAACAGAACAACGGCGGTTCCAATATCTCAAGAGGAAGGATGGAAAATGTAAAGTAAAGGATTATTTACATACATTCCTTTATCTATAAATTAACGTAGAGTCTAGTATGCCAGCAAGATATAACACCATGTACTCACCTTGGGTGGAGCATAGAGTTGGAAAATGACAGAAAATACTCCAATTGTAAGGAACAATATAATGCGTGCATTGTGTTCAAAGCAGAGTGCTAGACCCATGATAAATGGTACAATAAGATAGTATTGTAATTCCACTCCGAGAGACCAGGCATGTACAAAAAATCGGTATGTCGAGAGCTAAATTTCTAATGGTCATAAACACTCTAATGTCAGCTGTGCAATTTGGTTAACTACCTGATCCCAATATCCAAGCTTCTGAAAAATGGGCTGTAGGTTAGAGCTGTAAGTGTATGCCCAAGTCAGGTCGTCAAAGATTTGTTTGCGATCGAAACGCAATACGTAGAAGTAGCCAACTGCAAAAACACCAAAGATCTTGCACATTTGCTATTGATAGTGATTAGGATACAGAACAAAACAGCTGCCTGCATGAGCATAGCTTCTCGAAACAATTTCAACAGTCATGGAGAACTTCCCCTGACTTACAAATGTAAATGGACACGACGAATAACATATACAGAGGAACAATCCTTTTAAATCTGCGGCTGTAAAAATACCAAACGGACCCCAAAGTAAGTTTCCTCTCAAGGAGAATCTTGGCCATCAGGAAGCCAGAAAGGACAAAGAAGCTAAATTTTAATTCCATAGAATCGTACGAAATTCTGAATAATAAATTTACATGTCCACTCCTACGAATCCAAGGCGGTATGAGTTTGGCTTCAAATGCATCATAAGCACAAATAGAATGGCTAATCCTCTCAATCCTTGAAGATCTGCACGTTTTTGTGTTGTGGACGCTGTAGGATTGAGTCTGAAAGTTCAGATCGACAGGCTACGATTGCTGTAATGAATTTTACAAACTTTATTCCATGAGAAACTTTCCTCTTGCATAGCGCTGCATACGTCGAACCGAAGAGCTTCATATTCAAAATTAACCTGGAAAAGCATACATTCGATGACGGCACCAAAATGCAGATTTTGCAGGCCCGCTCATAGGCGCTTGTTCATGACAGCTCACAAAAAGTAAGTAGATTTGTACCACAAAGAAAATTTAATGATTGCGCATAATAAGCATTGGGTTGTTTCAACATTTCTACCCGCTTTCATACCTCCTCTTGAACTGCTGAATTTGAAGGAATAAACTGTGGACATTGTTCTTCGGTTTTCACAAAACTTTGTCCACTCTGTTTTACGTTCCTTGTAGGACAGCAAAACAAATATGAAACTCTTTTCTTGCTCTATTTTCATGAAAGCAACGCTTGAAGAAGAGGCTTTTCTCAAAATATATGGAACTTCTGTTAGTGGCTTATGATACGGAATGCGTGAGGTATTATTCCAAGGGAATTTCGTAAAGTTCCAGCGCAAACATGACCTATCGCTGTGGCCCAGCTTCGCAAAGTGATAAGGTCAATGCAATCAGCAAAGTTGCAATCATGCAACTTTGCTGTATGTAAGTTTATGCCCTAAAACATTCTACAAGTGATATTAAAATTTCTAATTGTAAGCGGCGAAAAAACGAAAAATTTGTAGGAAAGCATTTTTTGCCCCCTCAAAGAGCAAATAGCTGTGTCTTCTAAATTTTTCCCGAAAATTTTCAAAGAAAAAACTTGAAGAAATCCAAGATTAGCGGTACTGCTCAGCTGATTATTGAGACTATATTTCCTGATCAATTTGTAATCTCTCAAAGTAGAGGTTCTTACAGAACCTCTACTTTTGAGAACAGGTTAGAAGAAGATGTCCTGGATTTTTCTGCTAAAAAAACTTTCTCGTTGTCGCTCAATAATTTTTTTGCGTGCATGAAGTTGGAAAGTTTGTAGACAATGCAATTTATTGCAACTTTAACGTTCATTTTCAAAAAAAGTTATGGTGAAACGAAGTTGCAGATCAAGGGCAAAACTTTCAAATTAACACAGTACAATAACGGAATGCATAAAGAAAGAGTGAAGGAACGCTTGAGTTATGACACCGCTCCAACTTCACCATATATACATGCCTCACGACAGTCGCTTCGAATTTCAAGGGATTAGATCAGAGAGAAGTTAAGCGTAGTTGAAAAAGAGTATACTCTGGGTTACAAACTTCCTTTGTACTTGCACTTGGAATTTGAGCGGCACGAATAAGCAAAGAGGTTTCTTCCTAGGAGCACATGCAAAATAAATCAACTAGCATGTTGTAACGGAGAACGAAGAAAAGTAGGCAATTTCTAAGATAATAGGTTGATTTTCTTTCTTTTGTAAAAGGTAAGACTAGGTACTAGAATGTTCTATGAAATCCATAAGTACATACCGTATTTACTATAATAGTTTGATGTAAAAATTCTGACACATTTTTGCAGATATCATAACTTTTCACTCTAATTGATGCAAGAACTTAACTTTGCTAGGTAGAAGAAGCTTTTCTTGCTTCTCAATGATAAGGAGAGTATACAAGCCATGTTTGACTTGAAAGGGGTACGGTTCTAAGAGACGGGAACAATATGATGAGAAATCACTACTTTGATGCAGAAGTTCTGGCACATCATTTTTGAAAAATCACAACTTCTTACCTTAACTGATGCAATAAATTAACTTTACTAGGTAAGAAACTTCTCGTTGTGATGGTGCTTTTAACCGTCCTAATAATGGGTGGCTTTCAAGGTAAAAGTAGGAGAGTAGAACCACATCAACATTGGTCATTGTAAGTCAGGAATTCTAAGCAGTTATTTACGCGTATCTGTAGATGCGCATCGGTTTAGAGCAAGATGGAAACCCGCGCTAGATTATCTCAGTACCTTCCTTTGTACGAGAGCAAAACAATAGCAAGGTGCTATTTGAGCAATGACTTTCGGAAGTTGCTGCTTAGTGGGTTTTATTGGCAAAATCATATAAAATAAGAATAGATCGACTGGTGCTTCTGCCGATAAAATGAGTATTTGTATGCTTGCCACTGTGCATAATAAATGCAGATCTTGCCTGCAAAATCACGACAACAAAGACGTTACATCATTAGGAATTAGGCTACTAAAAAATCTGAAACGGATAGAATCCCTATCAATCAATATAGTATGTCTTTTAATCCACCCTTCGCAACAGGGCAAAGTTTCCATTGAATGAGCATCTCTGTAAAGAATTATGATTTTCGAAAAAGCGAATAGCCAGAAAATCAAATGCGTTGTTTTGTGTTGCTTACCCAAAAATCAACTCACCACCGAGATGCTCATTCGATACAAAACTTGCACTCTTGGAAAGGGTGGATCAAAAGATCAACTATATACTGCTTGCTGGAAACTCTATCACAATTTCAGATGTAGCAGCCTGACTCAAAATGACCGATGTTGAATTGATTTTATTCTTGCTCTTTATCTCAAAAACTACGCTTTATTAGAGAGCGGCAAAGAGATTATCACAAAGTAAAGGGTTGTCTCTATATAACAAAATAAGCTCCTGTAAATCCGTTGAAAGGGAAGGAAGTCGTAAATTTTCGAAAATGATGCGCGAGAACTTTTGCATCAATCTCATATATTTTGAACACAGTAGAAAGCTGCGATTATGGTCAAAGCATTGACTTACCAAATCTATTCACCCGCTTATCTCAGTTTCCATTCCGGTGTTATCACCGCCTTCTCTCGCGCTTGATAAAAGAAGTGTCTGTCTTGTCTTAGTGATTCAACAGATGGCTTAATTTATTATGTAAATCTAATACATCCTTTTTGAGCCCTATAGCACTGTGCAGTCTGCCTTTCTGCCTTTTGTTATCATTGCAAAGAAAGTGTTAAATGATT